GGTGACCAGGGGAGCATTCGCACAGTTAAAACTTGTGCGCCAACTGCGCCCGTACCTTGGGAAGTCTGACTTGGCCACGGTAGTCCACGCTCTGGTTACATCCCGTTAGACTACTGCAACGCTCTCTACGTGGGGTTGCCTTTGAAGATGGCTCGGAAGCTCCAATTAGTCCAACGTCGGCAGCCATGATACTAACAGGAGCGGAGCGCAGGGAGCATACAACTCCTCTGCTGCACCAGCTCCACTGGCTGCCGATTTGCTACTGGGCTCAATTCAAAGTGCTGGCGTTGGCCTTTAAAGCCCTAAACGGTTCTGGCCCAACCTACCTATCCGAACGTATCTCGGCCTATCAGCCCACCAGGACCCTAAGATCTTCTGGGGAGGCCTTGCTCTCTATCCCGCCTGCTTCACAGGTGCGGCTGGCGGGGACGAGAGACAGGGCCTTTTCTGTGGTGGCCCCTCGGCTCTGGAACGCCCTTCCCATGGAGGTAAGATCAGCCCCCTCGCTGATGGTATTCCGAAGAAGATTAAAAACCTGGATGTTCGAGCAGGCATTTGGTTAACTCGGTGCAATGAATGGGACGATTATAGATTGGTAATATGGATGACAAAATTGGACCACGATTTTAGTTAAGAGATGCATTGAATAGCGATTTATGTGTCAATATTGTGTATTATGTTTTTTATGGTTTTAAATTGTATATTGTGGATTGTGTATCTTGTTGTAAACCGCGTTGAGTCGCCAGCTAGGCTGAGAAACGGCGGTATACAAGTACAGTAAATAAATAAATAAATAAATAAAGATTGAAAGAATTCAGCAGGGTACTTTGCATCTGTGAATGTGGTCTCCTACCCACACAAGGAATGGCTCTGGATCTAAACCATTGACAGAGGATTTGGAAAAATCAAGTTGTACAAAATTTGGATGTAGCACAATATCTACTGTACATTTTAGAATATTCTTTTTCCCAGCAGCATTTCAAGGAACCCAGGTTCCAACTCTAGGCTTACTAGAAAACTGTGCTTAATAGAGAGATTCTCATGCTTATAGAGTGAGCCTTGTGTTTCTAACAAAAATGAAAGCTTTAGCTTCTTCATTGGTTTGACCACTTAGTAAATTAGACCAGACATAATTGTGCATCTGTCACATGAAAGATACCCAGTATAAGCATTCTTTTATTCCTTCGGAGAAGTGCTAAATGATCAGATGATGCAGCATGTTTCCTGTTTTTAACTGAGGGTCACAGACGCTGAACTCTTTATTACATGCCTGCCGAGGTCTCTGGTATTCAGCTACTCTCTGGATTCGGCCTGGGGTTCTTTTTGAGGCCCCTACTTAACACAATTAAATGTTATATTAATTCTCTCTTGGATAGTTTAGCAGATTACTTTTAGGTTTGTGATAACAGCTACCAATTTAATATTATTTATACTTTTGCTGTAACAATGATAAAATTCATGCCTCTCTTTTAAAAGAAAGCAGGCAAGCTTTGACAGTAATTCTGTGCATGGAACCTGAATTTGTAGGTCTTCATATTGATAAGACATGTATGGAATTGCATTATTTACAGCTTGAAAACTAACTAGGCTTCTGCTAATGGAAGGCTCCATTTGTTCATCACTAGGACAGAGGTCTAGTGGATAGCAACAATGGCTGATAAATTATTCCCCTCTGTTAATTATTCTCTCCTCGTGGATCCCCTCTCATTTTTTCAAAGACTCATAGTAGATTTATCCAGAGGGGTGAGAGAACAAGGAGAAAAATCTGTGAAAGTTGCCTCCCATTATTCTGCTTTTGGGAACATGCTGTGTACAAAAAAACCTCTCTAAGTGTCTGAAAAGTAATAATATGTGCCTGGGACCACTTGCACAGCTGCCAAAAGAGAGTTCCAAATGTTTTCAAACTGCAATGGTCCCACTAGGTGAAAGAGCAACTGCACATTACAACTTCAGTGCTGTTCAAACATAACATGATTTCCTCAAAACAGAATCACTTCCTTAAAGAAAATGTCAAATACACACAACATATGCACATTCATTAGCTGGAAATAGCCTCCATTGTATAAAAGAACCATGAAAGCATAGTGGTAAAACATAACACTGTAAATAAAGTATGATTGTGGGAATTCTTTTCAGTTCTGTTGCTTTACCAGTAAAAACGTCATGCACTAAGATGCTCTGAAATGTTATCTTTCTGCAAATGTCTCTTGCCTTTTGAATTTGTCATGGATGCTATGCTATTTTGGACACAGGAAACATTATCAATTTTGGTTTAGAAATGTTTGGTTCAGAGTTGCTCATAACACAAGCTAGACCACAAGTAAACAGGGACAAAAAATACGGGAAATCAGTGAGGAAACAGGCATCTTAGTGACATCCTAACGATACAATAGTCTATATTATGTACTTTTCAAAAAACATTTTAATCTGTTGATATTTTAAATAATTTAAAGCTTTGTTAAACTGAAAGGGCAAGTCTATTTCCATTAAAAACAAAAACAAAACAAAACATTAGTGGACACATTACAACACATTGTATTAATGGAACTGTCATTAAAATATGAAGTCAATTATAGTTGTAGAAAAACTTGAATTCCAAATTACATGATCCTAAATACATTTTGCTCCAGTATCCACAGGACCAGTAATCACGGTTTCATTTATTTACATTTGACAAAATATGCCCTCTCAAGGCATTTTCTAAGTCCTACAGTACTCTATAGTATTCTTGGGCCAGATGTCCTTCATTTCAAATGGGGTTGCTATTGGTCATGGTTTCATATATCCATGTGAAGACTGAAAACATGTTCCCTATGGACTATGGGAGGAGTGTACTGTCATTGTAGGTTGTCATCTATACACATACATGAACATGCAGATCTGTGTAAAAAAACATAAACAATGTAAGCATTAAAATGCCCAGATGAAATGCTTCCTGACTTCCTAGGGAACTTCGCTGTAATTCCCAGCTGGGGATCAGGGGCCATTCTTTTCTTGATATGCCATGTTGTCATTCTCCAAGAAGCCCAAGATTATTTGTCCAGATTATTTGGTAATGCTCCGCAGGGAGTCTAGACACTTCAACTCCTAGAACATGGCCCTATATCCCGAAAAAACCCACAAGAACCTACTTCAACTCCTGTTTGCCACCATTACATATAAAATAAAACTCTACATGCCAACTATCCTCATTATGGTGTCATCCTACCCGGTCATCCTCAATCTACATTTTTGTTTCAAAGAGTGACATTATATTTTGTCTTACACTCATTTCTTAAGACATTATTTGTAACAGCTGTGACAGTTTTCACATGGGACAAGATTTCATTTTGTGGAGATGGGGGTTTGTGTACTCCTTATACCCCGTTTTCACGGGGATCCCTTCAGGAACCTGCGACTCAAGTCATGAATGGATCACAAATGATTGGCTCTGTTTAAATCCCAGTTGGTGGTCGAAACTTCTTCTCATGTGGCACTTCATATTTGTCATTTCAATACCACCTAGCAAATGCATTAAATAAACTGGTCTCTAGCAGCCAATAGGTAGATCAGCTGATACTCTGGGAAGACATTTGCACATTTTTAATGTTCTAATAAAAAAAAGCAATCCACATCTAATGTCTGTCTATTTTCAGGAATTAAATTCAATGGATAAAATTATTCCTAGGAATGGAGAGCAGTGTATTGTACCTGCCTGGCATACAGTTGTTAGAAAGGAAGAACCTGCCAGAAAAGACACAACTTTAAATAAAAACCAAAAATATAATTTAGTAACTAGGGATACCAACCTAGACAACAAAACACTCAAAGCAGTTGGGTCAATGCACTAAATTTTCAGTTTTGTTTTCTTCCACATTTGTTTCTTAAAACATTTAGTTCTTTCATTTATGCAACAGCCAGTCCTCCACATTTGTAGTTTTAACCTCTGAGGATTGGATTATTTGCAGATTTGATTAATATGTCCTCCCTAGGCCCTCTAAGGAAACTCTATGTTCAACTTCTGCCAGAGAAACTAGCATTATATCTCACAGTAGTACAGATGGATGAGTGAAATATTTGAGTTTGATAATATCCACCACTATAGTCAAGCCCAAAATCAGAATAAAAGGCTTAACAGTTCAGTGCTCAAATCATCACACTGTACACATTCTTATAACTATCATTCTATGCTTGCTCATCCAAAAGTTTGGGACAAACTTTATTTCTGTCTCTTTCATCCTGTTCCAGTATCCTGATATTACTCCCTACCCCCCCCCCCCCGCTTTTTCCCCCTTTCCTCTTGCAATAATGTCATAATATTTGCTTTTCCCACTCCTCTATTCTCCATCTAAGGTCTGGCAAACCTCCAAGACAAAATGTTCATAAAAACAAAACAAAACCTGGTATTGCTTCTCTTAAAAACAAAAAGCTAAAGATAACTGAGTTGTGTTTATTGTTTTTTTATGCTCCAAAAAGAGTCAAGAATTTAAGACACCAAGTTTTAAGTGTATGAAAACAAGAGTTTGAAAAACTAAACCAAACTTTCAGTAATTAATAAGAGCTCATTAATCTCTTCATAGAAAAAGCAATCAGTTAATAGTATATTCAGGTACTGTACATATTTGTGTATAAGTCAACCTCGTATATGTTGAGATCAGGTTTTGGGGCAAAATTATGAACCATGGATAAGTCTAGGGTCCTTCTACACAGAGGGCAACACCATTTGCCCATCCAGGCATTCAAAAAGGTTTTTTGCCACTCTACTGAGTTAAGGGGTGGTTTAATATTTGTCTATAAAAGTTAAGGTATAACATTATTATATAAAAAAAGAACCTTCTCTGAGTAAGGTGGAAAAAGTCAACTGTAAGAAACATGGGGTTGAAATGCCTATTGTATGGTTAAGAGAAAACAGTGAAAGAATTATGACTTAGCCATGCTTAGTGCTGTCTGTACAGAACAACTCGCAATACCAGAAAATATTGACATTACATTTAAAATCAAAGTAATATAAAAACGCATACCAATGATTGAATCCCTGCGGAAAACATCTCTATCGAAAATGTAAAATGCCAGATGACGAAAACTCCGTGGAATTTCACAGTAAAAGTCTTCTCCATAAAAGGGGCTGTTTGGAACAAAATGGAAGAACTTTAGCATAATGGTTAGAAATGGTAGATCTTCAACTCAGATCTGGCAAATCTGAAACTTTTATCTAACAATTGCAAAAGCTTCTCCTATATTGTCACATTTCCCCTGCTCATCTCACTTGCTGCCCTACAAATTGCCACTGCTTCAAGTAAAGCCTCACGCAGACCATGTTTGCCATGGACGAAGTAATAGAATTTTTTTCCATGTCAGGAGCAACTTGAGAAACTAAAAGTCGCTTCTGGTGTGGGAGAACTGGCTGTCTGAAGGACGTTGCCCAGAGGAGACCCGGATGTTTTAGCATCCCGTGGGAGGCTTCTCTCATGTCCCTGCATGAGAAACTGGAGCTGACAAATGAGAGCTCACCCTGCACCCCGGATTTGAACCGCCAACCTTTCGGTCAGCAGTCTGGCTGGCACAAGTGTTTAACTCACTGTGCCACCACTGTCTCCAAAGTAATGGGATGAAGTAATGTGCTACCGAATTCTAAAATTTGAGGACATTGGGTACTTTGCACAGAAGCTGGGTAAACTTGAGCAACTGACTACCACAGAGACACCAAGTGTAACCAGTCAAGGAACCTACTGGCAATATTTGTGAGATAATGTTGCTGAGCTTCACTGCAAACATGTCTTTATCAGCAAGCAGTGATTAACCACATTTTTAGTGTCAAAGAAAACCTAAAATTTGAATCGGTTTTGACCGATTCAAATTTTGAATGAATTCAAATTTTTAGAACAAACAGTAAAAACATGAATCTGAAGACAAGCTTTGCCAAATGTTTGAGAGTATCTACTAATGGTAAGAGGCCTTGCTTTAATAATTCCCGAAATAAACTGAAATCATATGAGTTCACTCTCAAGGAGTCTGAGGGCAGAGCACCCTTTCTATAATCGTTGTTGGGTGCGGTAAGCATTCTAAGCATCCGCTGGCAGCACTTCACGTTTTTATTTAACTAGAGGAAAATAAAGACAGTTCGAAGCATATAGCCAAGTGAAATACTGACAAATTCTTCGGTATTTCATTTGGTTACAAAAAAAATGTTGTTAGCTGACTCTGAAAGAAGCATTGCTTGAACTTTCAAACCGCCATGCAATTATTCCTTAGGTCTAGCAGAACAGACCTGCATTACTACTTCCGCTTTATTTCAAGCAAACAAGCATGGAAGACAATACAGCTTTTAAAGGTCAGAATGAAAGGTTTCAGATTTATAAATGAAACATCTAAAGTTGTATCTCTGGGAGTTTAAGAGGACAAGCATTGCTGAGCCCTCCATATAAAACACCACCAATGACACATGGGTTGTATGGAGTGGGGGCTTTGGATTGATATGCATGTGCTTCAGCATGTACTTGTAGAAATATACATTTTATTTGGTTCTTTATCTAGTCAGATGAGTTTTAAATTATGGATCTGACAATATGTATTGATTTGTTTAAATGTATTTTGATTTTATATGCGCATGTAACTGTTATATGTCTGATTTGTCACAGCCTTCACAGTCCCTCACTTTAATCCATAAGACAAGGTGGATAAGAATTGTTGTTGTTGTAGGCATTTATGCCATACTTGATGGTCTTTTGTGGGGTATCCCAATCCTCAGAAGGCTTCCGGGCAGCGTCAAAATTTTTAAATGTGGGGCAAAAAATCCCAGGACCTGAAATGCTCCCCCCCCCACCCCGCTGTCCTCACAGTCTTCTTTTGAAGAAAATCAAGGGTCCTTCTAGACAGACCCAAAAATGCAGGGTCTGTAGCACTTTTACCTGAGGTGTCTCTGCTTTGCCCTAAATTAATTAGATACCCCTTTAGATCCAGGACTTCCTGAAAGGCCCAGGTATAATGCGGTAGTAGGCCTGTGGGGACTCACCCCCGAGTAGTCCTGGGACTAACTGAGGGTGAATCCCCATTTGACATCTTGCTCCTGGAGCCCAGAGGGCCCTCTTCCCCAAGCCGCCAAAACAAACTTTAAATTTAAAAACTTACTGGGCCACCATTATGATGGTCCTTCTGTCCTCCTGGCATATAGAAATAACACGCCAGAAGACGGGGGGGGGGGTAAAAATCACTCCTTATCCCCCCCCCTCCCCGGTTTTCTGGTGCATTATTTCTTCTTGCGCAGAAAGGACCACAATGATGGCTTGGTAAGTTTTTTTTTTAAAAAAATTAAAGCTTATTTTTGGGGGCCTTGGGGCGGCTACCAGGATGGCATCTAGAACCTCACCTTGGAAAGCCAGGGTTTTTGATGGGTATGTGGATGTAAACCCACACCAAAACAGGTTTTTTAAACCCACTTCAGTGCGGGTTTAACTCCTATCTGGAAGTGCCCCAAGTTGGAGGGCAGACTGGGGGCATCTACCAGAAGTTTTAAAAAATCAACAAGATGCACTGGACCTTATATGCACACATGCAGAGATCCCATTGTACACACAAGCACAGTTTGTATCTCTCTCCTCATCCAACTGTTAATTAAAGCTCTGTTTAATATTATAAGAAAGAAAGTAATGGTTGCAGAGAGTTCTAATTGATTTACAATTGTGCTTCCCTTTAGACACCTGTGTGTTCATGGCTCCATTTCTGACAGCCCAATCAGCTGTTTCAGGCTTTTAAAACACGTGCACTGAAGCAGTCCACACAGGGGGATGGGAAAGAAGTCACATGTTCTCCTTGACTGCAGGGATATAAAGTCATGCACATTTTGGGGGGTGAAATAGGGTTTTAAGCGCACCTTTTAAACATGTGCTTTTCAACTGTTAACCCTATTCTGCCCACATTTTTCCCAAACGTCACTTAGCCACCCACCTGGTTCTTCCGGGTTTTTAGACATGTGTAGAAGAGCCCTCAGAAATAATATGTTGGAGAAGGACTTTAACTGTATTTGGGAAGAGAAAAACTGGATTCTACAATGTGTGCCATCAGAAGCACTTCTGCTAGGCAAAGTAAACCTTGTATATGTACTAAAACAGATATGGTCATACATACCTAGAGACACACTTTTCAGAGCTAAAAACATTGGAACTATAATCCTATGTGTAGAAATAATATGTTCATAGCTACTCAAAAGCATTACAATTTCAATAGATTGGCCGTATGCATAAAAGTATTCCCAAAATTATATACAGTTAGCCACCTATACCCACGGATTCAAGCATTCGTGGTGTGAAACTATTCTCCCTACCCCAAAAATAAACCTTTTTGCCATTTTTGAAGAAGGGATATTATTTTGTGACACCTTTGTATGTAATGGGACTTCAGGATCCACAGCTTTTTGGTATCTATGGTGGTCCTAGAAGCAAACCTCAGTTGATACCAAGGGCCCACTATGCAATTTTTTAAAACAACAACATTGAATTAGGAAAATAGCAAATAATGGGTTGTTGTAGGTTTTTCTGGGCTATATGGCCATGTTCTGGAGGCAGTTTTTCTCCTGATGTTTCGCCTGCATCTATGGCAAGCATCCTCAGAGGTAGTGAGCAATAATCTTTTAAATATCCACCAGGCAATGTAATAAAACACCCAGGATTAACCAAAATCCAGCCTACATAAAACTACTTTTACAGCCTATGATGGGGTCCATCTATCTTATTATCTAAAGAAGGAATACATTTCACTGAATGGTGCAATATCAAATAAAACTCTCTCAAACCTAATCCTTCAGTAGTTGGATATGTAACTGGACTATGGAAGAAGAATATAAATTGATGGATCAGTTTACATGGGAAGTGTCATGACTTAGGCATTAAATTCTGTTAAAAACAGTGGCTGGCATCATGTTGGTTAGTCTCAACTAAAGTAGGCCCATTCGTTCAATTGTTGAATATTGAGTCCATACAAAGTGAGTCAAGACAGAAACTAAAGGCACTGTGGATAGAAGGCAGTGTTATGGACAGAGATACAGATTATTCTATATCAGGGAGGACTTGAACTCGGTTCTCGAAGATTCAGCTCTCTAACCTGTGAAAGAGAATTGTTCTTGGTGTCCTTTGGCTCTATAAGATACAGGTGAATTCTGTATCCAGGATTCTTCTTTTTCTCATAGGCTTTTATGCATATAAGATAACCAAGCTGGTGGTCAAGAATAGTAATGTAGTTATTCAGATGTAGTGACAGAAAATGATTAAATACACGAGAGCAACAGTATGCATTTCTGAAATGCAATTTTCTCATTTTAGATTTGTAGCTTTGAGACATAATGAACTTTAGCAATTAAGAGTAAGCCCTCAAGCAATTAATGTCTTGCTGAAATCTATTGAATACTTCTGCAGCCTTAAGATAAATTTAATAAAAAGTAGTTTAAAACTTTAAGATGTAATAACACCTATTCCTATTACAAAAGAAGTCATTTCATATCATTCAGTCTTTAAGATCAACCATTTCCTCAAGTTAGGATTTATAAAACAGTGCGTATAATTTTCAGTGCCGAGAAATTGCAAATGTGAGTTTCATTTTTTTATTGTGCTATTCCCCTTTGGGATGAAATGAGGGCAAGATATTCAGTGACTAATAACGGACTATTCCAAACCAAATCTCTTGCATATGGATTTTAAATGTGTTTAAAAACAAAGCAATTAAAATGTCACAGGGAATTTTACATCCTCTGGCTGATCTGCAATGTTTAGAAATGCTTGATTATCTTTCTGGATGAACCCTGAATAGGAGTTGACTTCACATAATGAACTAGATGCAAACATAGAGACCAAGCTTATCTATAGTAAAGCTACTTGGACAATTCAAGTATCCATGAGACTAGCAACGCTTAAGGTATATCTACTTCCAGCATTAATGCAGTTGGACAACAATGTACCTGCCAAAGCAATTACTAGATTCAGCAAAGCAGTTACTAGATTCAGCTACGAACGCTGACCTTGGTGTATATAAAAATGACAGGTTTTGTTATTGTGGAATTACGTACACATATTGTAAATATATAAGTAAAGGTAAAGGGTTTCCCCTGACATTAAATCCAGTCGTGTCCAACTCTGG